TCTGCTCCTAAAGGTCTAGCACTAATATTTGAGTTGTGGATGCATAATCACCTCAGAGTGGAGCATGTCCCCGTAAGGACATGGTTCTTCACAGCACATCTTTTGAATTTGTTTTGATATATAACCTAACTCACTGATAAGTTTGGTTGTTGCAAAATTTCACCTGAAAATATAGCTTGTCTTGTGATTGGTTTCATAGAAGTAATTATGGACTTCTAATACGGATCCTGTGTCTCCAGACCAAAGTTCCTATTTCAAACTAATAACTTCATATAATGTAAAATTAGGGTTATGAGAACATTTTAAGATATTACCAGGCTAAAGGTCCGTCCTTTATGAACAGGTCTTATTTGGTAAGACCAGATAAGCCCGATCAATTACGACCAGTTCTGAAGCGCGCTATGTAGTCTGAGTGTCGAGACCTTGTTCATGTGTTTTCTTATGGACTCGGATCCTAGTCTATCATAACTCGGGTCAGTATATCAATTAGCCCAACCTAAAGTTGCATCATCTTTTATGGCTCGGATGAAAAACGAATCGTGGAATGGCTCTATCTAATTCTTACAAATGATGCAAGACACGTGGGAACAAAGATTTCCACATTTTCAATGTATTTACTGTACAGAACGCGTTTGTTGAATCATACCGCAACAGATGTCTTTTCAGTTTTCTCAAAAGCATTATAGTAATTTGCTCTGCAGCAAGGTTCTGGGCACGTAGACTCATCTATAAAGAACTCAGCTAACTACATATAAACAAAAATAATGAATTGGAAGAATTATACGATATTGTCAAATTAGTGCAACAATTTATGCAAATTGCAAATCATGAAAAATATTTCCAGTTGAACTGCTATTCTAAATCGTGAACACTACCAATCTGAGGACTAGCATTTACAACAAAAGGCTAACTAAACTTCGACTCTAAATAATCATATCAACAGAATTCTATTCAAAAAATGGAAATGCTATAATGATACAAAAAACTGGACACCAGCTCATCTCCCCAGGAGAGGGGGGCGGTTAAAGGATGCTATTGTCTCAAATCAAACCAACAATGTGAAACCATGGCAATAGTTCCATCTCTTTCACATGGTTGCAAATCTCTTCAGCATCCCGCTCCTCAAGATTTCCAGATGAATGTTTAAGGTATGTATGGAAGGAAATGCCTTGAATCTCTAGCATCTAATTTCATAGGACCCAGCTTTGGTGATATAACGAACCCATTCAACAGTATTGTATCCACTCTTCTCCCATACCTGCAGAATGTACGTCGAGTAAAATTGTCTCAATATGTTCCATAACCAATAATGAAGCATGAGAAAGAATTTCAAGTATACCTTGAGAAACCTGACTCGCAGACCTGACGCTGTAAACATTGGAACCTGTAACGTGGAGTCCATGATGTCAGCTATTATCATAAATTCAAAATCATGGAAAAACATCAGTTAAAAAGAAAGATGTGGTGATTTGAGCAAATTACTTTTTAGGTGGTGATTATCTTTAATGATACGCTAACTGAAACCTAATGCCAATGGTCCAGATCCTTTCTTCATGATGTTTGAGGACGGTAGCATATAATTAAGAAGGTTTGTGTTCGAGTTCGGGAGACGGCATCACCCACCATAACAGCATCTGTGATGGGTTGCKTTCTTGCAAATCCTTTTTAAGTCCCTTGTAACCACATTCCTCTTCTCCTTCCTTTACTGTAAAAGATACTTGGTGTCATCCCATTCCCTCAAAACTCAGTAGCTGGCTCTTCCTCTAGGGAAGAAAAGCTCCTAGAATTCTGGTCACCTCTAGTGGGTGGATTGGATGAAACTGAATTTCAATGGGGCAATCCAGGACCCTCAAGAATTTGAGGGGTGATTAGAGACAAGGGTGGTGTTATATGTGCCTTGTTCTTAGGCCCAATTGATCAAGGTGATTTGGTAAGAGCAGAATTTTTAGCAGCAGTTTTTGGAGTTGGGAAAGCTAAAGAGATGGGAATTGGTAACTTGATCATTGAAGGTGTTCAAAGATAGTTGGAATGCTATAAAAAAGTGAGGGTGGTTTGGCAGCTCAAAAATGAATTCGAGCACTTAAAATGGCTGTCTAGAAGGTCTGCTAACAGCCTAACAAATGGTTTAGCTAAGCAGGGGGTTCAAAGACAACATATGTAATGAGTTTCTAGTCTCTCACAACTTGTTGTAATCCCTCTTTTTTATTTTAATGAATGAATATTTTCATGCATTGCTGAAAAGAAAAAAAAAAGAAAGAAAAAAGAACCGAGGAAGCACACTAAGCAACCCAACTAAAAGGCTCATTCCTTTAGATGGACAACAAAAAAAAAACTGTGTTCAAAGAAAACGTTACAGAATAAGTTCATCCATGTTTTTTTTTTTTTTGATAACTGTGGATTGAATTAATATTAAAAACATGAGAAAATTACAGGGCGAGGGGGTTAAACAATCTTAGCTCCCAAGAACAACCATTGAGCATCCAAAGAACAAAAATTACAAGGCAGCCCAAAAATAGAATATCTGTTCACCCCTTGTCTAGCTAGACCATCTGCCAAAGAGTTCACACTTCTTTTTACCCATTTGTATTGGATTTCCATGTCCTTAGTCAGCCACTTGAATTTCCTCTTTTTATTACTGTAATTCCGAAGTCTAAGACTATCCTTTTTCAGCCAGTTTACCACCACTTCAGAATCTCCTTCTATGATCAACTTGTTAATATGCATATCTTT